TAAAGAAACTACAGATGCTTTTCACAGAGAAATAGCTGGATCACAGGTAATAATAATGTACTTTATACAAACATTAAAGTTATCCTCAGGAAATGTAAGGACTTTTTGCAGTGCTGTTTAGCAGATGAATATGAAAAAGTTTATTCAGATTATGAATGTTAGCTGTGATATAATCTTGTGAGAATCACTCTTTTTGACCTGTGTGAATTTCAATGAGAGATGGGCCTTGCTGAGATTTCTACATTACAATGTTACTGCTATGTGTGAGCTGGCAGTTTTTAGTGTGCCTTAATGAAGTGTTGAAAGTAGGGCAAATACAGCCTTCTGCAGCAAAAGCTTGATAGATTTTTGGTAAAGCTATCATGCAAATTTTCAAGATTTGCACCATGCTTCATATTTTTGGGGGTTTTCATATTATATTTTAATTTCTTTGGTGCTATATGTTCACTAATGGGGTACTCACTTTATTATCTTCTGTTTGTTTTATCAGATGAGCAGCTTCTTCTTTAGTTCATTATTATCAAGATGTGTTAAACTGTACCATTTGGGAAATACTGTCTTTAAAAGTCATAGGTTTTTTTTAGGAGATAACAAGGGCACCTAAGCGCCATACTTGGTACTAAATTGTGCATTTTTCCTTCAGGTAACCTTTGATGTAGCTTGGTCTCCAGCATGCATAGATAAAAGGTGCTACAACTACACTGGGATTGCAGATGCCTGTGACTTCTTATTTGTGATGTCATATGATGAACAGAGCCAGATCTGGACAGACTGTGTTGCAAAAGCCAATGCTCCTTACCTGCAGACTTTAGTTGGTGAGGACAGAACACCTCCCCAGGAGTCAGAACATTGCCATTTGCTCACATGAGTAGATAGAAAAGAGGGCTTTTTCTCAGACAGGTTTATTTTGCTATTGTTGCAGTGAGGCTTTGAGTGTGCTCAGATGTGTGTTGTCAGGGTATGAACACAGTGTCCCTGGTCCTTATGAGCCTGCTGGCAGACCCTCAGCCTTGTGTGTTGGTCCCTGTAACCTCAGGAGTGCAAAGAACGCTTTTGGAATGACAAATGGCAGCCAGAGCAGTGGTGTCTGCCTGGGACTGCAGGGAACCTGAAACATTTCTCTCATCTTTGTGACCTCTGCTCAGGGCAGATGGTTTTAAGTGTGAGAAACTGGAGCAGTTACTGGGATCTCAGTAGAGCAAGCCTCTCAGTCACTGGAGAGTGCAGGTGAAGGCAAAGGACAGCTTGCACCTTGGCTTCTGGGTATCATGCTGTGGGTCTGGCCCTAAATTAATTGTAAGAATAAAAAGCATAGGAAAACTAAATGATGCAGGTTAATTTTTGTTTCCCTCAAAACTAGGATATGAAGAGTACATTGCTATGGGCATTGATCCTAAGAAGCTTGTGATGGGTGTCCCCTGGTATGGCTATGACTATGTCTGCCAAAACCTATCCACGGTGAGGTGAAGATTATTTGTTTGCAATCAAACTGTTACTTTTCTCCTTTGGAAAGATGTAACTATATTTTGGGAATCTTGTATTTGGACTGGGAAATACTGTGGTATGATGGATAAGAGCATCAAGCTGGGACACAAACCAGAATCTTTTGCTTGGCTGATAACTCATGAGCAGTGTGTTACCAGAGATTTTAGCTCCTTAGGCAGCCTGAACCCCATGACATCCAAGCCCTGTGTGTGGCTAAGGAGCTATAAATGTTATCTCTATGAGAAGAGATGAAGTCCAAAGGCCCTACGACACTTGTATGTGCCTTCTGAACACCACTGTAAAGACAGGTGCAACAAACCATAGCAAACCTATGACTGTTAAGCATAGCAGTTTATGAGGTCTCAAATATTATACTTATGAAAAATGTAAGGGCCAATTAAAGGTGGAAAAGATAAAAATGTTTAAGCTGAAGGGCATCCATCCAGTCCTGTATTAAGATTAAAGAAAATGTAGCTGCTTTAATTTACTTTTCTCTACAAATAGTATCTGCTGGATTTGCTTGAAGATTTGGAATTCTTGTGGCCCTGACGCCTTGTGTGAATTGTTCTTGGCTGTACTCCTATTCTGGAGTTGAGTGTATCTCACCTGAGACCCGTGGCTCCCTGTTTGTTTTCCAGGAGCATGTTTGTGCCCTCCCCAAGGTGCCTTTCCGTGGGGCTCCCTGCAGTGACGCTGCGGGGAGCCAGGTGCCCTACGCAGCCATCATGAAGCAGGTGAACAGTTCTCTCTCAGGGCTGCTGTGGGATCACGTGCAGAAGGCTCCATTTTATGAGTACAAGGTAGAAGTCTTTTTCCAAGCCACTGAGGTGTGGAGTAAACATTCATGAACCACAGATCTTTGACTATAAAGTTATTTGGGTTAGATTCTTCCTTTTATGTTTTCTATGTTTTGGTTTGGTTTGGTTTTTTTGGTACCGTAAAGGATTGCTGCAAATTTGTCTTGAATTCCTAGTCTGAGAGAGGGATGCAGTGCCTGAAGACTACAGGAATAATAACAATCTCTGTTACTTTCTAGTCTTCTTGAGATACTGCATCATGTCAAAAAGGACATTTTGGCTCAAAGACATCCTATTACTCCATCCTTCTCAATTATTGTTACTTTCATGAGTTGATAAATGATTTAAACTAAAAATGATTCTGAGATGCTCTTAATTTTGTCTAGATTGATGCCTTGCATGCATGTTCTCTTCTGAATTTGTTTTCTACATAGACACAGTGAAAGAGTCCATAAATGACTGTGCTTACAAGAACACCACAGTGTGTCAAGTTTGTCTTGTTTCTGTAAACATTATTTAAGTTTCACATGTTGGTGATAAAAACATATTGTAAGCAATGACCAGGTAAAAGCAGCATAACCTTGATAAAATTTTATAACCTCCTCTAAAACTGTTTATTGCTTAAAAACCCCCACAATCTCTAATTAAATTCACCTGTTAGCTTAGATACCATATCTGAAATTTTAGCTGTATTTAAAAAAATATTAAAATACAAATTAGCAAAGCCTTTTCATCTAAATTCAGTTAAATTGTGTCACTGTTTTATAACTTATATTCTACAATTAAAAAAATCCAAATATTTAGCTTAGAATTTTTAATTATCCTGTGTGACAAAGAATTGATAAATCAGGAGAATATTAAATAAATCTACGTAGCTTGTGTATCTCAGTTTTTAGTTGTACTTTTAACTGTGTTCAAGAGAAAATGTGATCACTGACACTGGTATTTAAATGTTTTTCTAGGACTCTGTTGGTCAGTTCCACCAGGTATGGTTTGATGACCCTCACAGCATCTCTCTAAAAGCAGCATATGTGAAGAGTCGAGGCTTAAGGGGCATTGGCATGTGGAATGGAAATAGTCTTGACTATTCTGGGGAAGCTGCAGCAGAACAACAAACCCAAGCAATGTGGCAAGCTCTGACACCATAAGAACTGTGTAAACCCTTGATTTAGAATGATGAAAATTGGTAATTTTTTTATTTTGGCTTACAGTAGCACAGATTTTGACTTTATATAAATATATTGTGATTAAAAAACTTTAAACTAGGCAAATCAATTTTATTATTTTATATGCAAAGTTGTATTTTCATTCTTCAGGAAGTTCCATTGTTGCTTTGGAACAACAATCCTTTTATCAGTAGGTTTTTTTAAGACTGCTCATCTTTTTAATTTTTCACAGTTACTGTAAGTTGGTTAATGCTTACACCCAGTGTGTGTCTGGTAACAAAACCAATTGATGGATTTACAGGGCAGTCTCATAATGATGCTTTGCTAAAGCTGCCAGGTGCAGCAAATACTTATTCCTGTGTTACATGGAGCAGTCTCAGCCTTCTGACTTCCCAACCCAAACAATATTTTAGCTAAGTCACTCTAGAATCAGATTAAACAGAATACTGGAGAGACAGATTATTGATTATAGCCAGCTCAGTTACTCTTCTAGATGAAAAGATTTTTATGGACTGAAGAAATTACATAACATGAACCAGTTGCTGTTAAGATTTATATCAAAGTTGTTGTTAGAAAGGAATATTCAACAAACTCCAGTTTCACTGTGCTTATGTATCACATAAATTCCTCAGTTTCAAAAGCTGAAAATCTTTGACGTTAGCTTGAAGAAGAAGCATTAATATGAAGGTGACTTGGATGATGTTTCCTTCCATTTCAAACTACTTTACTTCCTGAAAACTAGAATTAAGAAGCTTATTTGATGAACTGCATATCTGTTTTCCCACACACCCTAAGATTTATTCAGTAGCTTTTTTGTTTCTATGGGGTGTTGCCTCTGAGATAACAGGAGATTATGTTTTCTTTCCAGTTCATATTTTCATAAAATCATTTGCCTAAAGAAGTTGTATAACTTTTTAAAATACCTATAGTGATGTAAAGATTAGCTGGTGTTTACAGGATTTTTTTGTTGAATAAAATGCTGCTCTTGGTAAGGCTTGTAAACAATGTTTACAATGTTCCCTGTCTGTGCTTTACTTGTTCTACAGCTCACAGCCCACACTGCTTCTCTGCTTCTCAGAACTGTTTCACAACCAGATTAAAGTGAAACTGGGCCCTGCTTAAGTGACTCCATTAATTAAAAAATTATTGAATTTGGTAGATGTAGTCATTTGTGGGCTTGGTGGGATTTTTGGTTTGGTTTGGTTGGGGGGCTTGGGTTTTTTTTGTCTGGTTGGTTGGGTTTTTTTGCTTGCTAAAGAGTTACCATAGTATGGCAGCATTACCATAATGGCTACTGGGGACAAGACTGAAAGACTTCATCTGAAGTGTCTGCTTGATATTGCAGGAGATGGAAAGCAGAAGGTGAAGCCTGCTGCTCTTACAGAAACTAAAAAATTCCCTTGACAAATCAGAAGCTTTTCACTAGAACACCACTCTATAAGTCTTAAGAGAAACACCTACATTTTATATATTACATATATATATATATATATATATATACACACACACACACACACACATATATGTACTTCATGTATTATTACTTAAATGCTTAAGTACAGTGAGATGGATATTTGCTGAACTGAGAATCTTCTGCTATGAATATCTGACCTGCAAAATTCTGAGGGCCAGTTGACTTAATTATAAAACTCTCCTTCCTGTAGCAGTCAAGACTCATGAATTGGTAATACTATACTATAAATTTAGGTTCTGATATTCCAGTAGCTAGTAGCCTGCTTTCATATCTTAAATAAGACACAATTCTTAAATAAAGAATGTGAGCTTCAACCCTGAATTAGGCAAAAGTGGGTGTAGTTTTAATAATTTATTCAATCCTTTAGCACTAAAATCTTTGTTAAGTCCTATCTTTAAGAAAATAAATTGGATAATGGGTGGTTTGACTCAAGACATTTCTAACTTAGTTCTTTTGAGAGCTGCATAATTTTCTTATCCCATAACTTATTTCCCATGAGTGTTTCACTTCCAGTTATAAATACAGCCTTGATAGCTTTTTAGCTGAGATTAATTCCTAGCATGTTATTCTTCTGCTCAATATAATAACATCTGGTTTGCAAAGAGGCAAACAGCAGAGTTAGAAAAAAAAAGTCCTATGAAGAGGTTTCTGATTCCTCTTTCAGAGAATTGTTAATCTCAGGGAATGCATGATATTGGAATTAAGGAAAGGCAGAACATACAGGAGTGTAAATTGGACCAGGACCATCATTTTATTGGCCCAAGAGAAAGCTTTCAGGCAAGCTTTCAAACTACAGAACACACTTAATGTCTGTGTGCCTTTCCTAATGAGAGAGGGAACAAAATCAGCTAGGTATGGAATAAGGTGAGATTATCTGAGATTTTGTTTATGCTTCACAGTAATACAGTAATGATACATTGGTAATTTATATAGGCATATTTATAATGGCAAAAAACATACTCCAGTAAATAGCCAAATAAAGGATTACTGTTGCTGTATTTCTACATAAATTATATTTTAATAATTTCTAAAAAATAGAATGTGTGAGCCTGAAAATAAGGACAGAAGGTTACAGATTTTAGGTTTATTTCTTAGTAGCTATTTAGTTAATCAGAGAACATCAGCATACCACTGGTATGTTACACAATTAACTAATTTGCACTTTAAAAATAACAGCTTCGTTTCAGACATGTTTCTAGCTTAAACTGTATGTTTAAGTAGCTGACTGATCTTACAGTAAGTGAGATTTAAAAAGAAATGAGCTGCATTACCTCAGTAGCATATAATACAAATTCCACAACATTTATATAGTTAATGTCTTTTTACAAAATTACTTTAAGAACATACAAATTAATGCTCTGAAACTCTCTTTCCCATACACTAGAGAGCTGTACATTTCACAGATGTTACTCATGTCATCTTCTCAAATTCCTGATTTTCTGGACTGGAGAATTAAAGCTGAATGAATCTTCTTCTGGGTCAGTTCTGCTCTCAGTGCTTGTAAATCAGATGCTGCTTGCTTTCTCATCTGCAAAAGACCCATCATTTAAGGAATGGCAATTTAAGAAGGCTTTTTTTGGAGGCGACATGCATATAGGTTTATATAACTAAGACTGAATTTTATACAGGATGGCTGAATACAGAATGCATCTTTCATCTCTGAAATTTTATGTGTCCTAGCACCACTTTGTTCTGTAGTTTGCCTTGATGTTTTGGAAACAACTGCAAAAATAATTGTTCTTTCCACTCCTTGCGAGACAATGGAGGAGTCATAATAATTCCAACTACCCTGGAGTACCCAGTAAACAGGAGCATGGGCAATCTCTGTGATGTAGAACACTCCTATTTCAAGCTTTCAGAGCTGGAAAGCTGTCCAGTGTGAAGGCCTATACCACCTCTTCCTTCCAAAAAAAGTCATAGGCAACACTGATACAGAATTAAGCAGATGAAGAGGTCTGCAATCTTCTTAGACAGCTTTTTCTCTTTCTTAGGTTTTTTTGGGGACTTTTTTCATTTTTTTTTTCCCTTTATACCATTTTTTTTTTTAGCCATGGTCTATTTATTACTGCTCAGTGCCTCACCACACCAGGTGTATTTCTTCAATTACCTTTTGAATGAAATGGGAATTTCATGAACAAGATTGTGAACCTTAGCTTACATAGTACATTGAATATCTAAGTTGTTTGGATGCCATACATTCCAAATCATCTGATAAACTGTGTCCTGGAGTAATTTAGCTCAAATGCTAAAGTCACAACACCTGACACCTTAAAGCTAACAGCATAAAACAAGAACTGTTTAGCAAATATTTACATCATGTAATAATTGAGAAGTTCTAATGTTTTTCCATACATTGCCACATTTTGACTGTTCTAATCAAAAGGCACAGTACCTTAATTTCTATGAGGAGTCTCATTTTTGTATCCTCTAGCTTCCTCCTCAGTTGATGGAGTTCGTGCTGCACTGTGGCAATCCGGATGATTGTGTAATTCTGTGTGAAACAACAACAAACCTCGAGGTGCAGCATTAGTGCATCTGTCCCTCACTGGGTGTTCCTTCACCTCTCAGAAACAATCCTCTAACAACCTCTTTCCAAATTCCCTGCCTGCCCAGCTGGCTGGTGCCTGCCTGGCTGCACGTCGCTCACACAGGCTGGGGAGCACCCTTTGCTCAGCCTCACAGCTCTGCAAATCCCAGCTCCCTTCTCAGGGAGCTGCCCACTATAGAAAAGGACCAATAATGGGTCTGAGCATAGCCACAATGCAATCTCAACCCTACTCCTATTTTCATTTTGTAGATATTTCAAGATAGCTCCAATAATACATGTTTGTATATAATATACACTCTTAGATTGTACATGCACACATCTTTCAGATGCAAGAAAGGGACATCTATTTTTCCTAGGCTAGCTTCAGTTTTGTTTTCAACAGCCTTGCTTCCATTAATGCATTTAGAAAATTAGCAGACACAAGTGTTGGAAAGGGTGTTTCCTCCTTTTCTTTTATCTTTTTTCTTTTTAATCCCTCTGAACTTCCTGTGAAACTCACAGTTGCACAATAGTTGAAGTGCAACCACTTCAAAAGCTACAGATATGTTTTGTGTGCTCCAAACATTCACTGCCTCCTTGTATGAAATCTTGGATGATAGAAACAAAGTAGAACTGAAAAATCCATTAACTACACTGAACAGAAGGGGATTTTGTTACAAAAAGGTACCAACAGAAAGCAGAAAGAAACAAATGCTCAAACTCAAGCACTTCTGCAGTCTTTTGAAGACAAATGGCCTGAAGGAACTCTGTCCCTCAGATCATTGAGCAAAAGCTAGTTTACAAGTCATTTGTTGATGATAAATCTGTCTCTTTATTTTATACGAAAAAAACCCCTCAGATTGTGAAAAAAGAGATAATAAATAATACAAGCAAATACCTTGGAGGTTGTTGTTTTGTTTGGTCGTTTTTGGCTATTTCTGGCTTCCAGTTGCAAGAGCAATTTCTGGTGGTAAAGCTCTAAATCTTGTTGCAGTTTGTTTAAAGTGTCCTCCAGTGAAACTGTAGCTTTCTTGGTTTCAAAGTACTTCTTCTTCCATTCCTCACGCACTGCACAGGAGAACAATAACAGTGTTTGCTCTTGCTCACCTTACCATAAGGTTTGCTGAAGGCAGTCATGACAGCTCACCCCACAAGCTTCACCTGGCCAATGCACCCACTGAAACATGGCAGGAGGTTTCTTTAAAATAAACATGTAGTGAAAAAATCTTCATTCAAGTTCGTTCTCTCCAAATGCAACTGAATTTTCACATAAACACCTGCAACAAAAAGCTCTATCTGTCCTCTGAGACAAAACACAGGGTCCAAACCCAAAGTTTATTCAGTCTGGCTGTTCTGCAGCACCTAAGTGCTCCTGTGAAGAGTGGTCTGCCCAGCACAGTCTGAATTCCACAGCTCTACTGTACCAGAAAATGTAGCATTGTAGATTTAAGCAAAATTTATGCTCTTCATGGCCAGAGATTTTGAACACCTTCATTTTGACATCCCAAATTATAGGAAACAGTTAGTTACCTATACACTTCACTATGATTCCTCCTATGTTGTCAGTGTGCTATCAAGAGGTGGCACATAAATGCCCCTGTATGTGCTGTGGCAATCTTATGGCCACTGCATATCTGCAGTGTCTTAAATGAATCCCTTCTTTTGAGGCATAGTTTGTGGGAGCAGGACAAGTGAAACTCACCCAAAACAGCTCAGCTGTTGGAGGATGACTCTGTGCCAGGTAACTGAGAGTGCCTGTCAGCATGGCACTCTTAGGAGGATATTAAATACAGACTTGGATGGCTGTTACTGTAGAAAATGCTCTTTCCTTAATACCTTGTAAAGAAACATGCTTGCTACATGCCCTTACTTACAAAACTCTTCAGGTCTGATAAAATAAATTCAGAGGTACAGATGCTTCTTACAGAACCTGCAGAAGCTGTTTGAATCCTTGTGAAATAACCTTTATTTTACCTAACTGGATAACATAATTTAAGGCAATGCAGGTGCCATTTAGGGCTTATCTCTACCTTGAATTGCAGCTCCATGCTATTACAGAGTTACTGCTTCACACACCCAAGTTTGGGGTTTTTAAATACAAATTCCCCAGGGTGCAGGGTGCAGTGCAGCCATGTCCTTAGAGAACAACTGAAAGAATGGGCTTCTCTCCTTCCAATGAGCTACAAGTAATATTTGGGACTAGTAATGACTTAGTGACATTTAAACACAAAGAGAAAGCTCTCAAAACATCAAAATTATTAAATCTCATTTCTATATAACTGGAATGGGACTTAGGGAAGATAGTTTTAAGTATAAACTTGAAAATAATTTTATGAAGAAAATTTGTGTGAAATTTCAATGAGATTTGACCTTGTTAAAAACCAACGTTTGTCAAGCTTGTCACAACAGGCTTGGAACCTCCATGTCACAAGCTGAATACCATTGGATAGGAGGAACAAAAATTATTATGCTGCAATTTACCTGAAGTCCTATCAACACAGTACAAGCCTCTGTAAGCACCTTGTAAGCTAAAGGCAGGATTAGAAAATGCCAGGTTGCCCTGGGCCGCAGAGAGAAGCAGCCTGCAGTAGCTCTCTGAGCACTGCACATACATGAGACATAACTTGAATAGTTTAGGAAAGCCAGAACAACGTTAACTTTATAAGACATGCCACAAAAAACCAACCAACCAACCAACCAACCAACCAACCAACCAAAAAACAAAAAAAGCCCAAAAAAACCTGGAAGGAAACATTGCAACATTGAATTTTTCTAGCATGCTATTACACAAGATGAATCTTCTTGGAGCTATTGGTTACCAGACTGTTCTCTTTGTAAATAAGCCTACTGACAAGGAGACAAATATTTTCACATTGGTTTCACTGTAATTTCTCAATCAGCCCAAATTCCAAGATAAATTAAAAGTGTACCATGGTATTTCCTCAGCTTATTTTGTTCCAGTAGCCCTTTAGCTTTTTTTCTCAGTTCTTCTCTAGTTTTTTCCATGTGCCTTCTGTCTTCCTTCATTTGTTGCAGTTGTTCTGCCATCCTGTTTTCTAAAGATATTACAATTATATTTAGCAAGCATTTGAATATTCTAAGCACAAAGGATCAGTCAAGACTTTTGTAATGCACTCATCACAAATAATGCCAAAAGCTCTGTCAGAACAAGCAGTGGAAACAATTTCATTTTAATCAGGTTTCATTTTAATCTAACTTTTCAGAATGGCTGGTGCTTTAGAAAAAGATGGAAATCCAGCATGCATTCAGGCATGCACACACACATGCAAACAAACATATTTCTGTATGTTTAGACAATGTATCACTAAAACTATGTAAGCAAGAAATATATTCACTCCATACATTGCAAACTCTTCTCAATGAAGCCTAAAAAGCCTCCAAAAGACTATTTCCTGCTTAAAATACATTGCAATAGAAACTGTAGAGAAATCTTGCTTGAAACTCCAGCTTCCAGGACAATATCTGAGACTTTCACTAGTCTGCAACAACAGGTCTAACACTTAACTTCTCACTATCTTCCCCCTCAGCAACACTACTTGTGGTTTTCTTTGCTACATTCTCACTTGAGCCTGCAGCATTTAATCTGATCTCCCTCCTTTTCTCCTTCCATCCACTTGAGAAGTTGGGTTTTCTAGTGCTGGGAACTTGCAAAGCTCAAGGACAGCCCATGCAATCATAAATACCTGGAATTTTCCATTAATAAATTAAAATTTGTAACAATACTGTGAATTAATGCATGTATAGTGTAGGTATTTATGTCTTCATTGAGTCTTCAGTCTTGATTAAAAGTTCACTTCCTTGTAATTTCTTGGAATCATGTACTCACTTGCTGCCTGAATTACAGGAACTTGAGCTGGATTTACAGTAAATGCCAAAAAAGGTGAACTAGGAGCTGAAATACACTCTTTTGGACAAGTAAGATGATTTTGCTTGTTTTCATCTGCCTATAGAGTCAAAAGACACAACTATAAGTACATCACCATAATCCTGAATAGTTACATTAGACACATGCCCTGAAAGTGGCCTGAGTGAAGGAGAGGGCTGAATTAGACTTCAGGCAGGATTTTTTATATTCTGTTACCAGTACCCATGTCCACTAAATTGCAAACAAAATGACAGCACTAAACACTTCCATCACAGAGAACACACAGACAAAACTACAGATTATTGCTACTGCTTTTTGTCCATGCCCATAACCCACAAGTTACTGACAGTCCCATGCAAGACCAGGAGCTAAGGGCCTTAAAATGGCCACCTGGTTTGTTAATTATGAAATCAAAACCTGCCAATTTCTAAACTAAAATTTGTAATTGTAGATTTTAATTGTTTAGTTGATATTCATTAGAAAATCTAAGCTAAGTAGCACAGCATGAATAAACTTTTCTCAATTATTCTCAAATCCTTCATATTTATAATGAGTCACCAGTCTTACAAAATTAGACTGTTTCTAGGTGGAGGACTATATTTATTGCTCAAGATTACTAGGAATGTTACCTTGAAAAACATACCTGATTATCCAGTTTTTCACCAAGACCAGCTGTAGTCTTCTTAATTCTGTTTTGCTGCAAGCTAAGATAAAATCAAAAAAACAAGTGAACGTTCACCAAAATGTTTTTTTCCCTCCTTTTCTTTCATTTATTTGAAGTCTATAAAGTAAGTTTGTATTGGTGAATTAATATTATCCATTATTTTAGGAGATGTATTATTTGCTAACCTTTGTTTTTTGTGGACATAATCTGTAGTTTGGTCTTCCCTTATTTTAAGAATTTCAGCATCCTGTATTCTGTCTCTTCTTAATTTGGTATCTTTTTGGTGCTCATTATTTTCCATGTTTGCCAGTTCTGTGACAGGATAGTGATGACAAAAATACATAGATTACACTTGCAAAAATCAGGCTGGTTTGACTGTCAATGACTGGGCTTTCTAACCTGTACTGGAAATTCAGTGAATCAACAGCAAGTGGTGTTATCTCTAGGATTTGGAAATGCTCCATAAACAACAGAAGAAAGAAATCAAGGGGGGAAGAAAAGGTATTTCTGTTATTAGAATTTATATCTGATTAATTCTGGTGATTACACAAATGTATCAGCTACAGTAAAGTGTTTCTCTATATCAGCACACAGTGCTAATGAAGGATCACATCTCTCTGAAACATATCATCATTATTTTTAAAAAATGGAATATTGCTCTCATAGTGCTATTCCAACTTACACTTTAATTACAGATTTCTTAAAACTTAGCTTTACTTTGCTTTAGCAAAAAAGACAATAACAAAGATGTGTACCCTTTTGATATTTAATTGATTTTGGAATCTTTGGTTACCCTGGCCTTGTTCATCACTGTGGTTTACACGAGTAAGAGCAGTTCCTTTGGCTTTGTCATTCCACTTAGGAGCATTGCAGTCTTCTTCACCTTGGCTGAGATGATTCTGCTCAGAGGTCTGTAATACCAGATCCCACTTTCCAGACTGCTGGTCTGCAGGATTGGAATGACTTGGTGTGAAGAGAGATCCATCAAAACTACTTTGATCTGTATAATAATTGATAATATGACAGAGATATTATTTTACTGTAAATGTTAACCATAATATTTACTTTTCTTCTCATTCATCACCCTCCTTCACCACACTGGTTAGGCTTACCTTTTTCTTCAAACTGTTTTTCTGGAATCCTGTTGTTATTGTCTTGCTTGTTGTTTGTGTGTGAAACTGGAACAGGCTCTTTCTCACCCCATTCCACAGGACTGGGCACTTCCACATTTTCTACCTGATGCCTGCTTTGTATTCTTTCTAAAAATGGTTTGCCTTTTTCAGGTTTCTGTTGGGAAAGGCTGGATAATCTTGATCCATGACCAAACCTATTAGCTTCTTCACTAATGTGATGTTTCTGTTGAGGTGATGATAGCAATGGATAAACATTTTCAAAATATTCCACTCCAGGTAATAAATATAATTCAGGATAAAGTGCCTGAAATTGCAGATTGTATCCATCAGACACAAAGAAAATGTGCAATGTAAAGTTTCTGAAAATGGTACCTTACAAACCATTCAGTACTTACATAAGGAGGAGCAAATGACTTCAGTTCTAGTTCTGTTTCCTGCTTTGCTTTCACCTCAGGAGATAAAGTATGGAAACATATCAAATAAAATACTTTTTTCATCAATAGTGTTGCATGTGACACATGCATCTATCGTCATTTTTACACATTGCATTCTTTTATAACCATCACTATAATCTGTAATGGCCTTATGGGGTAAAAGTATCTCAGACTACATTTGTATTTTCTGACAGAGTTCTGCAACTTTGTCTATTTTTCAAAATCTTAATCAGACCCACAAAATTACATGCACGTACTGAATGATTTTTTATCCTTTTCACTTTCTCTTATGGTTCAAAGGACCTGATCCAACAGTCCCAAGAAAAGAAAACTTGCAACTTTCTTTATCAAAAGTTGCTTCAAGCCGAATCTGGACAGAAATGCTGAGTCTCACATAATTTTCTCTATTTCCCTAATACAGTAATGCAAAACATGGAATGTATATGGAAAAAAAGTCAAATATTATCCTATGCCTTCTTGTATTTATCATTTTCCTTCATATTCTTTTTGTGACATACACTTTCGCATTTAAACAGTTGTCCTGAAAACAAAGTCTAAAATAGTCAATATGTATTTCAAAGATGTGCTCCAATGTAAGGAAAAGAAATCTGAGCTTACATTCAAATAATTATATTGAATTAAACACAAAGGTTGTATATAAAAAAGGAAGAGCAAATGAACATGATTTTAGTTTATGTTTATCTTTTCATTTAAGAGACCCCTGCTTGCAAGTAGGGCACAGCTCTTAGTTCTGCTTACATTGTAAAAGTTGTGAAACAGAAGACCAAGGGGAGAGAACACTCAACAAATATTTGATCATGGAGATGCAATTCAATGAGGTTACCATGACCCTAAACAATAAATAAAGCAGTTGGTATATTGCTTTACTCTTTGCTCTAAAGTTAAACATCAAGCAACAGTAAATACCTCAAAGAAAAACTGTATCTTTCATTTGTCTCTATAAATCCTCATGTAGGTTACCAGTACCTTTAATTCTCTATTAACATAAAATATTTTATTCATTTGCTGACATTATAAAGGCAGGAAAATTTCTCCATTTATCTCTGAACTATGTGGGGATGAAAATGAATCATCTTACTTATTGTCATCCAGTTAAGAAGACCTCAATTCACTGAAACATATGAATACTTTCCAATTTAGATTATATCACACTCTTTTAAGTTTCTTTTCATGTATTTTCACCTAGTTTTTGCATATCACTTAGTATTTATTCTAGTCTCTGTGAGAGTGATTTTAGTGATAATTCAACTAGAAATGAAATAAAGAATGGCACTGAATTTCCTGCTCATAGTTAATTTCCAAATTCATGAGAAAGAGGTGAAATGAGACATGGAAAAAGTATTCTATAGTTACATAAATGACTTACATCTTTGTGTGTTACATGAACAAACTTTCAGTTGGACTAATTTTGAAGGTTTTTTAATCTTTAGCTATATTTTGTAAGATATATATGTAGAACTGATGGAGGAACAGTTATGATTCACACATGTAGGGGTTTCATTACTGACATCTCAGGCTGTATTATTGGACTAAACAGTGGAACTTCCAGAGAAGCTTTTATTCAGAGAATGATATCTTAAATGCTTTTGGCAGGTCACAGCAGGAGCCATTAGAGGGACTCTGACGGAGCTTCCATTGCACTTTGTCAACTGAATAATTCCCAACCTTGTACAGGTAGTAATGGCCTTATGGGTTTGGGTTTTTTTAATGCAACCAGATTTGTCATATTTAATCCATGGATTTACCAAAACCATTATATTTTCACTGGATGTTGCTTTAAAGGGTACTTGTAATACAACTGTCCAGCTTTGCCCTTGCACTTGGGGAAGCAGATATGCTCTGGCAAGAGCTTAGGCTGCAGCATGTTTAAAAGAAATGCTAACAATGCCCTTAAAATTATCTCTACTTTATGTGATATTATTTCATCTGCAGGAATGAAATCTTAGCTTTACATCATATAACAGAAAAGCATTAAAGAAAAAAAAAATTAACTTACCACTGCTAGTTTTTTCCCAATGCATTTTAAAAATCTGAATTTATCTGCGACTGTCACTCCACCCAGGTACTCTCCAAGCCTCTCCCGCAGCACTCTTAGTGTGATGTGAGGAGACACCCTAGAATGTTGTCATTCATTAATACATCTGTAAGACCAAATAATGATGGCTAGTTAGTAGGAGGGGGAAGATGAAGGTCTGTGCATGCTGGCTTGCACAGCCAGAATGACCCAAACTGGGAGCTGTGTCCTAGAACTGAAGCCAGTTACAGACAGGCCAGAGGGTTTTGGGGTGGCACTCAGAACACTGCACCCCAAGGGCTGTTCCAACATTAACCAGCAAGACTCACCTTGTACACACAAAGGGAACACATGGAAGCAGACAAAATATGAAATTTACTTCTTCAGAATGCTGTTGCTCATCTGCAGATGAATAACAACACCACTGGAAGCTACAGTCATGCACTTCCATATAAGTGACACAGTTTCATGGGGCTGGACCAGGACTGTTGAACATTCCCTTCAAGCACCCAGGACCAGAGGAGCCTTCAGCACTGTCCACTTCAAGCAACAGGCACATTCCTTTGCTTTTGTCTTTTCCAGCACAAATTCACAGTTGGGTGTGTGCATGCAAATGTATTTTAAATAAAAACCAAACACTGCAGTGTGAACATTTCCACCATGATTTGAGGATGAGAATGTTGACACAAATATGAATTACATAATTTAATGTACTACTTGAAAGTATGCAAATATTTAGGTAATGAGCTCAGTAGAAAGATCACTACAGAATAAAAAGCATCTCTGCACAATAAATCCAAATGTGCCAGAGGCATACCAAAGCACTGCAGCACAGCACAAGCAATTCTAATTGTTCTAAGCTGCCATATAAGAAACCAGGGAACAAATGCAGGCCTGAGACTGTTAATCACCCACTCTGATTAAGTGGCAGGATGATTTTGGCCCAGGCAGCTCTGACTCCTCAAGCAATGCACAGACACAGCTTGGGGGACAGCACATGCCATTTTCAGCAAACAGTACAGACAAGGACCTGCCAGGTCTTCAACATTACTCTGTCAAGGTTTGTTTGCATTGCAAGCAGCCCTTTAGGCCTTCAGCTCACAGCTCAAGCATGTAGTAAAAACACTGCCATTTTCATCTCATGAACACAATGCCTGCCTTGTATTATTTCAAATACCCTGGACTTAGAGGACCCTCCTCAAGATCACAAAACGTCTGCAGAGTGGACACATCTACAATTTATAATGGGGGAAAAGTATCTAGGTATCCAGATCCTGAGATATAGGGCAGAAATTTATCTCAAAATTGTTTGCCAGTGCAGCTGCTAGGAAAATGCAATAATATTAGTCTGTCACTTGCTGCCACTGGCTGGCAGAAAACAGTCACATACAAGTACCTTGTTTCAGGGTGTCCCTTTAAAAGCAATGCAAACTAGAGCTCATTGCAGGTATCTCATCTAGAAAAAATAAAAGTTTGGCTTCTGTGGTGAGGAATGAGGAATGGAAAAAAAAGCTCACAGAGGCTAAGAAATCAAGTTCATGGGAACAAGAACTCAGGGCCATAGAAAATTACACCCTTAACATCTTCCTCTAATTTCACAGCTAATGGAAGTGGCCTGTACTTTGACCTAGGAATCCTTTGAAAAGCTGACTCAGACAGCACTGGGATTGTCAAGCTGACTGAACAACAGAGCTATCAACAGGTCCAAGCCACAGGAGTACCAGCCATTCCCTCTCCTGGATTATAATAAAGGAAGTTTTTAAAAATATTTTTTGTTTTTAAAGATAGTGATTCCCTGGCCAGGTATGAGTTATGTTAATGCTAATGTCCTTTATCATTGCATAGTATCCCTAGAAGAATTAATTTGCAATTATCTAAGGGTCATTAGCAAGCAACACTATCCAGGTAGATACAAACCCACTGAAATCAGTGAGAATCCTAATTTAATTTCATGCCTCAGTGAAATAAATTTTCACTAGAAAATATAGGGCAGTGGCAGATGTCTATGACATGAAATGAAGTTACCACTTCACACCTGTATTCTGCACCTCTGCTGCAGACTAGAACAGCAAACAAAATGAGTTTATGCTCTTATTTTCTCTGGTTTTGAGCAGCCTTTCAACAGAAGCAGCTGTGAGAATGAATACATTCTGCCCTACATGCTCCTACCTGACTGCTGTTAGTCTATTCAGCTACACTGTATATTGTCTCAAGTGGACAATACAAGACTCAATTTAAACTAATTAAAACCTCTATTCCCTGCACTTTTAGATGAATTGGCAGCTTTTGCACAGATGCAGACAAGATGTATGTAAAAGCTCAGTTTCAGTACACATCTTTACATTATTTTATTTTTCTACAACTTCTCACCACACTAGATACTGAATTTTGTGAGCAAAGTGTTTTAGGAGTATTAAAAAAAAAATTAAAGTTTTGACAGATGAAAAATACAACTCCTTGTGCCAGGTTTGAGCCTAGGACTGGGAACCAGGGTATTCTTTCACTAAGTCCTTTAAACAGCTACCTGAGAGCACACACAGTGCACAGCGTTGTGCACAGCTCTCACTTTCTTCTTTCAAGAAGAAAGAGGAAATGCTGCTGGTTCGTGGGCTGTAAGGCTTTCCCTTGAGAAACAAGGCTTCAGCTCTTTCTCTGGACTGAGAGAGCTCAGATCACCCTACCCCTGTTCCTGGGAACTGACAGGCTATCCAATCTTCATCAAGCCATTCTCTTGAGGCTGGCCCATTGCCCAGAAGTATTCCAGCTTTTGATAATCAGACTCAAGGAGACAGAAAGAATGTAAGATATGATTTTACAATATAAATCTTTCTACAGAAATACTAGCACTGCTCTGGAAGTACTTTTCAATGTCTACACCATGCCTGACATAGTACAAATGAACACAATGCTGGTTATGGTCACCACTTACACTCCAGACATTTCATTAGACAACAAGTTTCTGCTGCAGACGTAATTGTGCTCTCTAGAGCAACAATTGGACTAAAAGTTGGACTGAAGGACAGTGTGAAGGACCTACCATGCACATGAAACCCAAAACCACACTCACCTTATAAATCCAGCTGAGACAAATTTGCTAGTAAGAGCTACAGGAACTGTATTCAGCTTGAAGTTCCACACTTCTGCTGGGACACAAAAAACATGAAGTTCCAACAGCTAGAAAAAAGAACAGATGTAAATGTATTATCATCCTCTTCCTATACACTTTGGTTTTTTTTTAGGTGGACTTCCAATTTGTGTAGCAGGAATGGTTCCTTTGGTACTTGCACAGGGACTAGAACAGTGAGGCCCTGTCTCACAGTGATGACTAGATTGTGACAACAGTGACAGCAGAGCAATTTGTGACTGAGTGCCAGCTGAAATAAGTCACATTAGAACAAGCTCCCCAATGGAAGTGAGATAATGGAGAGCCTGTGCTACTGCTGTGTATCACTGTGACAGCAATGGAGAGATCTTACCAAAACCAGCTGATACTCTGGAGAGTGTCATGACTACAAGAATCCCTCAGCTGAAATCCTACCTTTGTTCATCTCATAAAAAATGCAAAGCCCTGAAAGCTTGATTCAAATAACACCACAACTTTACTGTAATCAAGGAAAAAAAAATCAGAATATTTCTGACTGTTTTAAATAATATTAGCTACCTTGGAAACACAAAAATATTCCTGCTAATGTCTGCAAAAAGAATAACTAAGCTGGCTCTGAGCAAGGTTCACTTGGGCTGTGTTGAGACCTGTGTCAGTTGTTGCACTGCTAATTTCCAGCTCTTGATATTTTTAGTAAAACTCAGATAGTATTGACAAGGGTGATACACTTCCCTTTAACTAAAAACCATGCAAATAATCTATATTAAATACTTCTGCAAGTGTTGAGTTACTTAATATGAACAAGAAAATAATTCTTTCTACATATGCTATTTTAAAAGCAAGTATTCTAGAACCTTATTTTAATGTATTCTTATTTTTTGTTTGTGATATCTAAAAAATCTGTGTGGAAAACACAAAATCTCTCACCTGTGAAGTTCGAGGTCTCATTTGATTCAATGACATGTTGGTCCCTCTGTGTGACCACAGCAAATGCCAGGAAGGCTTTCTAATTTTCTTTTTGATTGAAGCATTCTTTAAGAATGAGTTTCATGATAATCTGTTGTGACAGAAGTTACTCCATAAATATCCTTTTTTCATTTACTGATCTTCATTCCACTAATGAAAACGGAAGTTGTGTCGGTGCTGAGGCAGAAAGCTTCCAGCTAACTGCAAACACAACCAACCACACCTTCTACACAAGTGAGTGTCACCTAAGTAACTGGGGAAATTGCTAAATCATAGCCCTGAGCCTCTGAGATCTGCCCTAGAGCATTTCCTCTTAACATTTCCTCCCCTTTCATAAAAATATGAATTTGGTAGTATACAATTTTCTATACAATTCCACTGTTTTCCTAAAGACAGAGACCTAAATCCCCATAAAGCAAGATTCTTGCAGGACCTGGATCTGATAAAGTGATGGTTATTGTGAACTGCAGCAAACACATTGTGCCAGCCAAATGCAGTGTTCTGAGGAAACGTGACTGTGCCGGGCAACCATGGCAGAAAAATACTTCCATAAATTATAACCAGGGCTCTGTCCTAACATTGTTGTAGAATCAGGGAACAGTTTGGGTTGGAAGGGACCTTGGAAGGCCAGTGAGTCCAAGCCCTGCAGCGAGCAGGGACATCTCCCACTGGGCCAGGTTGCCCAGACCCCCACGTCCAATCTTGAATGCTTCCAGGGGTGGGGCATCTCCCACCTCTCTGGTTAATCTGTTCCAGGCTTTTACCACCTTTAATGTAAAAAACTTCTTCCATTCACTTCTCATCAACCCTCTCTTAGTTTAAACTCATTCACGTGTTCCTATTGCAACAGGCCCTGCTAAAAAGCTTGTTTCCATCTTTGTCTTTTTGTTAGGAGTTTCCTTGGTGTTCTCTTTGAAGGCTCTTCCAGCCCCTCTGAGGTTACAAACCTCCTCTGGATTTTCACCTACTGAACTCAGGCGCTGTTCTGCTGTCAACAAGAGATTGCTCTACCCCAGCTACTTCTAATTCACCTGCTTTTGAGCACGAGCGATCAGACCTTTCAAGTCTCACTCTGGGGCTGTGGAATTAAGATTTCTTCATGTCAGTGGGAAATACCTGCTTAACAGGGTCAGTGTCTTTACTTGCAAGCTCCCTCAAATGGCCCGGGTGTGACACCCATCAGTGCCCCGGTCACCGCCCGCCACAGGCAGGCACAGCACGGGCTGCTGCCATTGCTCCCGCCGACAGGGAAGATGCTGTACCTGACGTCACCCCGTGCCCCGCTTCACGGCCGCTCCCGGGCACTTCCTGCAATGAACAGGACCAGAAAACTGATCCTTCAGGCTACAGTCAACACTCAAACTGCTAGCACGAACTAAGTTAGGAACTTCATTCATTGCACCTCAAAATGGCCCCCAGATTGGAACCCAGTGGGTATAACCACCAGGACTCGCCGCCTGGGTGCGAGAGCAGCCTCCCCAGCAGTCCCCATGATGAGTGTGTGAGGGCGGGCCCGTCCCGGCACACGGCCTGGCCCCGGTGCGCAGGCGCCGCGCTCCGGGCACTTGTGGCCGTGCCGGGAAGTTGTGTTGGGAGTGCTGCGAGTGCCGAGCCGAGCCCGCCGCCGACCCCGCCATGTCGGGCTCCTCCAACGTGGCGGCCATGAAGAAGGTGGTGCAGCAGCTGCGCCTGGAGGCCAGCGTGACCCGCGTGAAGGTGAGCGCGGAGCCGCGACGGGACGGGACAGGGCGGACGCGCCGCCATTTCACCGCCCCGGGGCCGCGCCCGCCGGGCCGGGGCCGGGCCGGGACCGCCGGCTCCCACCTGCCCCGCCCCGCGGACCGGGCTGGGCGGCGGCCACCGCGCTTCTCCTGGGGCTCCGTCGGGGTTTCCCGGCCGAGGCGAGCCCGGATCGGCAGCGCAGCCGCGTCCACTCCTCCGCCACCCCTGCCCGGGGCTCGGCCGCTCGCTCCCCGCCGCTCCTCGGGGCCGCTCCCCGGCCGAAGCGCTCCCCGGGGCGATGGACGCGGCCCGGCCGTGCCCTCGGAGCGAGGAGCGCCCTTCCCTCGGGCTCTGCGGGGAGCCCGCCCGGGCGGGGCGCACAACGGGCTGGGCTGGCCCGGCACGGCAAGATGGAGATGTCGCTGCCAGGCACACCGAGTGCATTGAACTCGTGCCGCGCCGGGGCGAGACCGCGCCTGGCACGGCAGAGAAACCGGGCAAACTGCAGATACCTACCGCGTGTCAGCGGAAGATGCAACTTTTTTAAACTTCGATCGCTCTATTGTATGAGTTCAGAGTTACAGCAAAGAAAAAGCAAGAGAAAGATTTTTTTTCACTGATCACTTATTAGCAAGGCACAGCATGCCAAAAACCCCTTATAAGGGTGCTCAGAACCCCATTATCTCATCATAAGGATGGCTTTCCAGGGCAGCCTGAAATGCAAGTTTAGTGGAGTAGAACATGTTAAACCATAAGCAGTATTTTTTAATTGCTTATGCCAGAACAAGGATCTTCAGATATTTAATAAAGTAATCTCCAAGATCTTGCTCATCTGTCACCCTTCATACTTAGAAATTTACTATGGAAATTAAGACTTCCAAATCAGTTCTCATTCTTACATTGTTCATCTTGTCTTTAAGAAACAAAAAAACTACAATGAAATTATTGCATAAAGTCTACATAAACTGTATTGCAGAATAATTTAGTAGTATTCTTTGTACTTTTCAACATAAAAACCACATCCTCAGTACAAAGTGTTCTGTGAATTCTAATGCCAGCTTTTATTATAACTAGGTTTCTCAAGCTGCAGCTGACTTGAAGCAATTCTGCCTGCAGAATGCACAACACGATCCCCTACTGACGGGAGTATCATCAAGTACAAATCCATTCAGACCCCAGAAAGTTTGTTCCTTTTTGTAATTATGTGAACTACTTCAGTATCTTTCAGTGGTAAGTTCTTGAATTACAATTCATAAACTCTTGTCATTTAAATGAGACAGGCTCTATGAAAGGCACTCAAACATCTGACTTGTGCAGCTGGTGTTGGTCTAGATCCCATTTTTGGTCCCTTGTCCGTTTTTCTGGTCACAGCTCTGTACTGGACACATGCTGGCCATTGGTATTGTGAGCAGCGCTTTGCTGGTGCAGAGCTTCCACCAGTTTGTGTAGCAGAATGGTGGGACCAGCTACTGCTGAGCTGCTCTTTGGACTAACAGTAATTGTGCTGTATCTTCCTCTCTATAAGGGTATTATTTCCCTCTTCTCACTTAGAATTAATGTGTTGAATCCTAATTGTGGCAGATAAAACAGACTTCAGTTCTTAAACTTCTAATGAACAGTTCCAAAAACAGATTAGTGGTGGTGGTCCCCAAGAAGAACACTGACCATTGTGGGGGGAAGATGCCCTCTCTGCCAAAAGAAAAAGTATACACTTTTTAAGAAGTATTTACTTTTAAAAGCCTGCATGCCACTCAAGTAAGCTACTACAGGGGTAGCAGTTTAAATAACTAGAAACAGTGGAACACTCATGTGGATTTTCATTCCTGAGCGTTCATAGGCTTATTAGCACTGCTGCTATCACCAGGAAGACTACTCACTCACCTGCTGTTTTGGTGACTAGATTTTAGGCTAACCTCTTTAGCAAGGTGGGTTTTAGATGCACAATAGTTTCACCAAAATTCAGAGTCCAAATAACTTGGTTATTTTGACCACAGTAAATGCATGATGATTTTACGATGTTCCCTCTTCCTGTTGCCCCTTGATGTGGATCTGTTGGAGATGAGAGCACAGACGTTATTTCAAAGCACCCAATACACAGTTAACCATAGTTCACAATCCTTACAAATCTCATAGTGAGTCTTAACCTTGAAAAATTCTGGTTGTGTAGCTGACTTCTATCATCCAAAGAACTGTAGTTTGCTAGATTTAAATTGTGCTGTTAGGCAGCTTTATAGAAGGGTGACCACAGTTAGATTGGATTGATAAAATTATTCTCCCCTCAAGCAGACTGTGGAAAAGTTGCAGATGTGTGTACTAGCAGAATAACCACGTTTAAAGGCTAGAATAGTAACAATGTAGAAGTTGATCCTTAACTATTTAACAAGCAAAACCACAGCCCACATTGTTTTGAGCAGTGAATTACAACAGTATAACTGAAACGTGCTTTAGAGTTCTTGTAGCTTTTACAATTATTTCTGTTGTGAATTTTTGCCAATTACTGCTATTTTAAAAAAAACTCTCGGATGCTATCCTAGTGTAGCTTCAGCTGTAAGCACTAATCCAAGGAAGACATCAGATCATCTGTAAGCATTGTAAACTGAAAACTTACACAAAGCCAAATAAACACTACTTAATCCATGACAGGTACAATTCCCCACCGAGGTTTGCCAAGGTTAGGAAATTCCTGGATGTGGATGTAGGGAAAAAATGTTTCCTCTGTCTCACACCACACCTGCACACACAGGGCATAGAAGGTCTAATATCTTCTTTCTCTGCTACAGCCTTTGGAATGGAACTAATTTCTGGTTTAGTTACACTACCTCTATGTGAAACTCCTTCACTTTGCAGTATCTGTTGCAGGCACTTCCTGAAAAGAGGTGATTCTTTGTGTTTTCTTGATGAGCCAGTAGTGTTTGTGTTTGCACAGTCAGCACCACCTCACTGAGGAGGAAGTGTAATTTGTTAGTTACACAACAAATTCCCTGCTTTTCAAAGACAAAGTAGAAACCTGGTGTTTTGGTGAGCAGAAAGTGACTGGGAACAGCTGCTTCTTCCACTCTGCAGTTTGGTTTCAAGGAGACACTAAGCTTCAGTTCTTCTGTAAGAGCTTTGATTATCTTATTGTAGCTTTGAGCATGACTTCATTTAAAGTTTATTTTTTAAACTAATAAAACAGCTGTGGAAAAAGAGGGTATTTTTTCCTAAACAGTTGCCCATGGCATACTCTGAAATATGTATTCTTTGATTTGCTTCACTCAGCAGTGATACCTTTCTAACTAGATTTTGGTTTTGTTTTTCAGATCTTTTAGCATCTTTTCCTACCTGCTGATGTGTGTATGGGCAGAGTGCCTCAAGGAGCGGCCTGGTTTGAAGTCTGTAAAAAAGCTTAGCTTTAACGTGCCAAATCTAACTCTAAAAGTGCTACTGTCGTCAAACTTCTTACCATCTACCTCTCCAGATGAACTGTATGCTAGTTACGTATTTCTCTTTCATACGGGAATCACTTTTATACGCCAAGCAAAAAATAAAAGTGTCTTGACTTAGTCTGGTCTTGAAATTACTGTAAGAATTGAATTAACTTCTGGGCATGGTGGCATCTCACAGTCAGTGCATCACTGCAGCAGCTGGAGAGCAGAGAGAGGAGTGATAATATCCTCTGCCTCTGCAAGTCTGCCTGGGGTTAACAGCCCTTCAGAACAATGAGGCTCCAGCAGTACCATACTTAGAAGCATAACAGAAATAGAACAGAAAAAAATTTCAGCCTGTTTATAATTCAGCTATACAGCTGTGCCATATCATAGACATCACATTAAGACAGAGTAAATTAATCTTAATCTTAATGAGTAATTCTACCCTAGGAGATAACTTACTCTATGTGCCTTCTTATTCATTAGGTAAATATGAAAAAGCACTTACAGCTGTATGTGGAAAGTAGCTCAAAGAAAACTTGACCTTTTAGCTGTCAGTGAATGTGCCAACTTGAGGCAAAACAGTAGTTTATGTGCAGATAATACAAACTCAAGTGTTGCTGTGAGGCTGAAGAAGCATTTTTAAAATTTTAAAGGGGAAAACCCTGCTCAGAGACTTCACATAGTCACTGAGCAGCATTTTTAGATGATAGCTTTACAAATGTCTGTCCTGTAAGGGGGTTTTATGAATTCTTTCTCATCCTTTCAACTGCTTTGGGTATACAGACCTCTTGTCATTGTGATACTTACAGAAGAGATGCCTGTAGGAGTTATGTGTATTGTTTTTGTAACTTCAGCAACGTGCCTATTTTATGCAAAATGCTAATGAAATAAAAGACCATGGACTTCATGGATTGCATACTGCCTTCTCCGTGTTCCCTGGATAGGAGAACCTTTTTGGAAAACTCCCCATACTGTCAGGGAACAGCAAACTGTAAGTTAGAAATAAGTTTCAAATATTTATCTCTTACCTGATTAACTGAAGATGTCTGGGTTAACAGAAAAAATAAAACGGAACTGTAAAACTAGAAATATTTTATTTTGAAAATTTCTTTAACCAAAATATTTGCTGTCTTTGATGTTGTAAAGCATAATCTGTTTCTACAGCACAGCAGCACTTTTGGCAAATCCTTAGTGATGGCTAAATGACAAGTTGCTCAAATACAGCCATAGTTTTTCCTGCTAAACTGGAAAAAGTCACTGTCCTTGACACATTGGCTACAAATAGGAAGAGAGGCACATCCTACTTGATCTGCTGCTGTAGAAAGTTTTCATGTTTCCTGTTTGTCTTTCTGCAGACAGATACTGTTCAGTATCATTATCATTAGTTAGTAGTCCAAGATCATCCATAGTTCAAAGCAGCTGCTGTATTCCTGGTCACCAGCAACTGGCAGATTTCACTTACAAATGGAATTTTCTTCTACTTGTGTCCATTTCTCGACGCTGAAATTGAAAAGGAAAGTTGTTTGCCAGCAAGTTCATGCAACACGATGAAACAAACAAGAAGGACCACTCCTCTTTATAGCATGGCAGACAGTGAAATGTAGTTATTGCACAGCAGAGTTGTAAATAAGTAGTTACAGTATATTGACATTCATTGTCCTTGCTATTTTTATTTTTTATTTGAAACAGAGCAGGATGTTTCTGCTTTGCATGACTCTCAAAATACACCTCCAAATACTTAAGTGCTTCCCCACTGAGACCTGCATTTATACCACTTTTCTAGGGTAAGATTTTTGGTTACATTTCATGTCAGATTTAGCCTCCCCAAGCAAGACTATTATCATTACTAAGACATACCTTATGAATCCACTCATATTCTCCAAATTTGGAATCAAAGGTTCCTTTTTGAAGTGACCTCAGCTTCAATGTAAAACGTGGCCCAAGTTCTTGAATTCCCACTTTCTTTTCACTCTTGAAGATATATCTTGGGGAAGAAAAGAATTAAAATTAGGAATTAAGTTACAAGAGCATTCTCTCTCACTTGTAAATGAGTATTGAGGAAAATGTCACCTGTGGAATCTGAAAAAGATGTAGTCCCTCTGGTTGTGAAATGTAGCTACTTGTCTTCCAATGAACTGAGGGTCGTGTGGGAAGAGCGCAGCAAACATGCGGCCGATGGAGTGGCCGAGGCGCGTTGTGAAGTTATTCAGGATCACTTCAGGGACGTGTTCCGTGGGCTCCTTCCCCTTCCGCTGCAATCAGAGCGACAACAATGCAAAGAACAGACTGAATGCAAAAGGATTTTAATGTATTACCTAAGAAGTGTTTGAAATAGAAGGACAGGGCCAAAACCACGCCCTAATCATTCATTCAAACACAATCAAAGTTCATAAACATGTAAAGGAGCAGCTGGTAACATAAGGATCTTTGTTTCAATAATATAAATTCAGTGAAAAAGCACAAATAATTTTATATTTTCTCCTGCACCATTTTTTACTCTTAGCAGACCTGTTATAGTGGACAATGCACTCTACCTATCATAGGAGTATTCCCCCTGTACTCATACCAACTAGGGATCTATGGGACTGAGAGCATATGGGCTTCTTTAATAAAAACTAATTAGAGATTACTTATTTCAAAGAAGAAAACCCATTATACTGCAAATTACTTAGGGCTAAGTAAGCAATACTAAGAGGTGACAGGGCTATCTATAGGAACAAGAAGACCTAGGTTTTATTCAAGACAAACTACATCTAATGAAACCTTTTACACTGCTCATTTCATATACCCTATTGTGTGTATGCTACATATGTGGTATTTCCTACTGATGTAGTTTATCATCTGCTGTTTAATGATATGATTTTAAAAATACTTGTCAGATTATAAAACACTTGCAGCAAATAAGCTTGAAAGTGGAAATATGCTGCTTATGAAGTAGAATACACTAGTCCTTAGCCTCCTGTTAGCTTGCTAAAAAAACACATTTACAAGATCAAGATGAATCATATCAAAATGCAGTTTTGACAGTTGAAGCAGACTGGATGTATTTGTAATTAACCAACAGATAACCCATTTTTCAAATATTTTTGAGTCTCACCTTTATTTCTTTACGCAAACGCACACTGCTCATTCTAAAATGAGCAGTTGGACCATCAGGAAGGTGACTTAAAACAAGACCATCTGTGCACCAAGTTAAAAAAAAAGGCTGGTAAAATCGAGCATGTAACTTAGAGAGGAACATTCAATGCAAAATGCAGTATTACACTAGAGGTTTAGATCCATAATCTATTCCCAAGGTTTTGTTGTATGTTCAAACATACATTCCCAAACTAGTTAACCAGCTTTCTGAAGGATGCCCATTACATGCTAACAAGGGTTATCCTCTACTGTTTTCACATTTGATGAATTTGTAATGTTTTATCTAGCCAGAAAAAAAAGATGGATCTTCCTGGTCAGAAAAACTTGTTAATTAATCAAACTGTTATATTTACTGAAATAATAAGTGCTTAACCATGCATTACAAAAAAGTGCCAACACTTTCTTTAATAAGTCCAAGTTCCATTAGCTATCCGACACTGAAGTTGGCGCAGTGATTTTTAGCTCTGTAATTTGCACTGTGAAGAGAAAGAAAACAGAATAAAGTAGATCTCTGATGTACACGACAGAATTGTTTCCATTCCCTGATAAATACACAAAAGGATACTTGGTATTTTGCGATCTTCATTAATGACAATTAAATCTGTGAAGTCCCTTGCAATGCACTGTGGAATGATTCTTTTCAAAGCCAGCCCTCTTCGGTAGAAGACGTGTGAGTTGGGTATAACAGTGGCCAGCTGCTCACAGAATCTCACTGTTCTCTGCAAAACAGGGCAGTTAAATTGCAGTGGGCAGAATTCAGCTGTTGGGAGAACAGAGGGTTGGTCATTCCAACTACACTCCCTGAGCATGTATTACTTCCAGTATCTCTATGAAGATTTGAAGATAAGCTATTAAATTACTTCATTCAGTTAGTGCAAAAAAAAATTATTTACAGTAAAGAATGCAGCACACCAGAGATTTTTTTAAGGACTCCCTTTCCCCCTTCCTCCATCACAGAAAAGTGGGAAAATGCAAAAAGCATACTCTGCACACTCATTATTTATAAAGCACGCTGGTTTATAAAAAATTCACAGCATCTCAAAATACAATATAACCATTTCTTCATGAAGTCATGTCTGAGTTTTCAGATAAACTGTTTGAGGTGTATTTTTTCTTATTTTTAAAGCAGTTTCTGTTATGGTTTTAAAAAATGTCAGTAATCTCTTTAATCAGGCAATGCTGATCATTTCAATACAAGAACTCATGCACAAAGTTGGGGTTTTTTTTATGGAGGAAACAAACAGTGCTGGAGAAACCAATGGATTACATACACATACAAGGTTACTGTTGGGCACTAAATAAAATGGCAGAAAAAATCCATGTGAATGCTATTATCTTCAGTTTTAATGTAACAATCATAGGATGAAAACCCTGGTATCTTATGAACATTTGGTTTCCAAGTAAAAGATACGTACCCCACGAGGTCGGTCTGATGTTGTAATAAGAATTTTGGGAACAGTCTGTCTGTTAAAGTATGGTGCAAATTCATCAGTTGCTTCATCAAAAGCAACCTGAAAGAACAGAAGTTTTGTTAAATCCACCATGTATGAAATACCTGAGGATTTAGGTCAATGTGATCAAAATTTTAATTCACAAGATTTATTCTGTAATTAATCACCCAAAGGCACATGGTTTTCACATTTCTAAGAATCTAGTGTGATGAACATGGGCAGCTTTTATCAGTATGACAATTATTTAATACAGATAATGAAAGAATGATATCACTTCTTAGCGATATGTGTAAA